CAGTATTGGAAACTAAGTTAAACAGGAGCTTCTATTCAGTCCAATACACTGTACCTGCTGGGAACAGACGCGAATTCTATTTGAATATTGTGTATTGCCAGAATAGCACAAGAGTGTTGTTCTTACCCTGAATAAACACTTGCTGCTAGAACTTGAAACTGAATGTGATTAAACTCCGTTTAGGAAGGTTAAGTTTCCCTAGCTTGCCTTACTAGAAAAACACTCTGGTTTTGAGAAACGGGCATTCTTGCACTCTACTGTGTTTCCTATAGGGCCAATACAGTGAGGTAACTCAGAACCAAAAAAAAAAAAACCAGTGCTTCCTACACAAACGGGGCGTATCTAGTTCAACTCAGTATTGAAAAATAAGTGAAACAGGAGCTTCTCTTCACTCCAATACACTGTAGTTGCTGGGAACAGCCGCGAATGCTATTTGCACTGTGTATGGCCAGAATAGCTCAAGAGTGTTGTTCTTACCCTGAATTAACACTTGCTACTAGAACTTGAAACTGAATGTGATTCAAATCTATTTAGGAAGGTTAATGGAACTCTCTTGTACCTTACAAGAAAAACACTCTGCTTTTGAGAAATGGGCATTCTTGCACTCTACTGTGTTTCCTATACTTCCAGTACAGTGTGGTAGCTCAGAACAAAATAACAGTTCTTCCTATAAAAACGGGGCATATGTAGGTCAACTTAATATTGATAACTAAGTAAATCAGGAGGTTCTCTTCACTTCAATACACAGTACTTCCTGGGTACAGACGCGAGTACTATTTGCACTGTGTATGGCTCGAATAGCACAAGAGTGGATGTTTTTTCATTGAATTAACACTTGCTGCTAGAACTTGAAACTTAATGTGACTCAACTCCTTTTATGCAGGTTAATTAAACCCTAGCTTGCCTTGTAAGGAAAACCCTCTGTTCATGAGAAAAGGACACTCTTGCACTATACTGTGTTTCATAAAAGGCCAATACAGTGCGTTAGCACAGAACAAAAGAACTGTGCTTCGTACATAAACGGGGCATATCTCATTCAACTCAGTATTGGAAACTAAGTAAAACAGGAGCTTCTCTTCAGTCCAATGCACTGTACTTCCTGGGAACAGCCGCGAATGCTATTGGCACTGTGTTTGGCTTGAATAGCACAAGAGTTGTGTTCTTACTCTGAATTAACACTTGCTTGTAGAACTTGAAACTGATTGTGATTTAATTCCATTTAGAATGGTTAATTGAACCCAAGCTTGCCTTACAAGAAAAACACTCTGATTTTGAGAAACGGTCATTCTTGCACTCTACTGTGTTTTCTATAGGGCCAGTACATTGAGCTAGCTCAGAACAAAAGAACTGTTCTTCGTACAGAAACGGGGCATATCTAGTTCAAGTCAGTATAGAAACTAAGTAAAACAGGAGCTTCTCTTCACTCCAGTACACTGAACTTGCTGGGAACAGCCGCAAATGCTATTTGCACTGTGTACGGCAAGAATAGCACAAGAGTGGTTTTCTTACCCTGAATCAACATTTGGTGCTAGAACTTGAAACTGAATGTCATTCAACAACGTGTTGGAAGGTTAATTGATCTCTAGTGTTCCGTACAAGAAAAACACTCTGTTTTTCAGAAATGGTCATTCTTGCACTCTACTGTCTTTCCTATAGGACCAGTACAGTGAGCTAGCTCAGAACAAAGAACTGTGCTTCCTAAACAAACGGGGCATATCTCGTTCAACTCAGTATTGGAATCTAAGTAAAACAGGAGCTTTTCTTCAGTCCAATACACTGTACTTGCTGGGAACAACTGTGAATGCTATTTGCACTGTGAATGGTCAGAATAGCACAAGAGTTTTGTTCTTACCCTGAATTAACACTTGCTGCTAGAACTTGAAACTGAATGTGATTCAACTCCTTTTATGAAGGTTAATTGAACTCTAGTGTCCATACAAGAAAAACACTATGCTTTTGAGAAATGGTCATTCTTGCACTCTCCTGTGTTTCCTATAGGGCCAGTACAGTGAGCTAGCTGAGAACAAAAGAACTGTGCTTCCTACACAAATGGGGCATTTCTAGTTCAACTCAGTATTAGAGACTAAGTAAAACAGGAGGTTCTCTTCACTCCAATACACTGTACTTGCTGGGAACAGCCGCAAATGCTATTAGAACTGTGTACGGCCAGAATAGCACAAGAGTGGTTTTTTTACCCTGAATTAACACTTGGTGCTAGAACTTGAAACTGAATGTCATTCAACTACGTCTAGGAAGGTTAATTGAACTCTAGTGTTCCGTACAATAAAAACACTCTGTTTTTCAGAAATGGTTATTCTTGCACTCTACTGTGTTTCCTATAGGGCCAGTACAGTGAGCTAGCTCAGAACAAAGAACTGTGCTTCCTACACAAACGGGGCATATCT